CCGCATCCCCAGCTTTCTGTAGTTCACACGAATCACTTTCTCCCTCCCCTCTAGAGTGAGTAAATGTTTTTCCTACCTGCAGGGAAACTGCTACAAACACTCTAACAATACTGTTTGTTTCTTTGTGTGAAAATCTCTGGGGAAGGCGGACCCTAGCTTCTCCTGGTTGCCTCTCCCTCATCTTTTACAAACCCTGCAATCAATGCTTATGTGTCTCCACCCCCCTTTTCTTGGCCACCGGGAAGATGCTGGTCTGCTACCATCTATTTTGGATGCGCTTAAGGGTTCTTAAGTATTTCTTCAGCCTCTTGTATCCCAATCTGATGGATTCTGTTAAGAACAGTTAGCTGAACAATGGTGACAATTTGGTAATAAATAAATAACATCTGACAAATCACTCTGAATATATCAAATAGTTCCCATGGACCAAAATGCTAATGGTATCAGGATGGTGCAGTCACAGAGAATTTGAATGAAAAAATGCGACCAGGATTTTTTTTTAAAGTAAATACCTTAATTCTTTTTTTTTTTTCCTAGATTCGAATAATTCCTTACACTGACTAGGTACCTGCAAACCTGGGGCCGGAAATCATTATAAGGGTCCTAGTTGGGTTAGCTATTGATTAAATTTGCAAAGGAGCCTATGAAATGAAGTAGAATTGAAATTTATTTTTCAGAGGCAACTGGTAAGCCTTCAGGCATATAGATCCATAATATTTCAACAACAACAAAAAAACAAAAACAAAGATTCGCTGTCGTAATTGTCACTGAATCCTGAACAGTAGGGTCCGATGATAAAGAATGATTAATTCACTCTGAATCCATGACTACATTAAATGTGTTGAACTCATTGGATGCTACCATAAAACTCACTCCTGTCGAGTGGATTCCGATGTACAGCATCCTCACTGGACAGAGCCCCCGTAAACCTTGAAAGCCTGTCATCTTGACTGCCCTGTGGAGACTGGAAGACTGTAATCTTTAAGGAAGCAGATTGACACATCGTTCTCCCAGCCAGCAACCGGTGAATTTGAACCATCCGCCTTTCAGTGAGTCCCGGGGCACTTCACCACTGAGATCCGAGCTCCTTTTGATACTTCCACAGAGGGAGCAAACTCTTTTGTGAGGTAGCACTTTACAGGTGAAGCGCTCTGAGCATGTGCAGGAAAATAGCTCCACATTGCCCTCGTGTGGTGTGCTAGTCAATGGCATGTCTGTGCGGGGAGAAAATGGTTACCTTGCGACCCCTTCATTCTCAGAGCACCCTCTCTCCTCAGCACGCACACCCAACTGAAGCCCCCATCAGAATTTGAAGGAGGATCAAATATAGTGTGCTACCCACTGGCTAAACCTTAACTGGATAATATTTGTATTGCTCGTCCTTCATCTGTCAGCTTGTCATTGGGTGGTGGGGTGCAGGTCACCAGGATGCTGAAAGCTCTGTCTCTGGTATTTAAAACACTAACAAGGTCACCAGCTTCAGAATCTCCGTAGGGTCCCTAGGCATCCGAATGGGCTCGATAGCAGTGAGCTAAGTTAGGTCACCCATGGAGTGCAGGCTTCCTCAGAGCCCCCAGACAAGGGTGAAGAGCCTGCTGGTTTAATTCTTCAACAACTGGTCAGCACGAACCTTATGAACAGGAGTGGAACATGGTCTGATAGAGTGCCAGACCGCCACCCCTCAGGAAGGCAGTCACATTCCACGGGGGAGAGCCATCCCCTCAGAGCAGACTTTAATGATTGGGATAAAGTAAAGCTTCCGAGACCTTCATTTGCCAGTGAGGCATAATTCAAAACAAGAAAAAAAAAATAGCGTCAAACATTCTTAATAATCAGGACGTGGCATGTACAAGTGGAACCTAGGAAAGATTGAAGTTGTCAAAAAAGAAATGAAATGCATGAAGATCAATATCTAGGGCATTAACAAGCGGAGTGGAACAAGACTATCATCTACTATGACAAATTGAAGAGGAGCAGCGTCCCATTTTTCGTTCAAGAGAACATTTCAAGAACTACCCTGGAATGCAGCACTGCCTGTGATAGGGTCCTACCTGTAGACCAGTTAAAAGGACTATAATTCCAATTTACACAACAACCAAGAATGCTAAACATGAAGAAATTAGAGCGTCGGTAACTTCTGCCCTCTGAAATTAATCAATCATGTAATGAATAATTACTAGGGGTTGAAATGTGAAAATTAGATACAGAGAAGTATGGGTAGTTGGAAACTTTGGCTTGGGGTTATACAATTAATACAAGAGCTCGAATGATACATAGAGCCTCATACTTTTGCAAGATCAATTCATTGGAAAGAGATTTTTTTCCCAGCACAATAAACAGTGACTATATACATCAAACAAATCTCCTACAGCTGTGGGAAGAGGTGATGGAGAAGTTCAATATCAACCGTCAGAGCAAAGCTCAGGATTGACTACAGGACACACCATCAACTGTTCCTAAGCAAGTTCAAGTTAAAGCGGAGGAAAATTCAAACCAATCCCCAAGAGCCAACCCTCAGTCTATCCCAGCTGATAACAACTCAAGAGTACATTTCACTCATTGAACACTAATGATGGAAGAGAAGATGTATTGTGAGATGACATCAAGGAAAACATGCATATAGAAAACAATAGATCCTTAAAAAGACAGGGGAAAAAACCCAAGAGACCACGATAGATGTCAGAAAAAACTCTGAAATTTGCTCGTGGCTGTAGAGAAGCTAAATTAGGATGTACAGAAGCTAAGAGAACTGAACAAATGATTCCAAAGGGCAGCTGGAGGAGACCAAGGCAAGCATTGTCATGAAATGTGCACAGACTTGCAGTTAGACGACACCGAGGGCTCAGTGTATCGTTTCACCAATTGTTGAGTGTGGGTGTTGTATCAGAATTATACTCAGTTATTAAAATACTCAAAAACATACCCTGAAGTCATCTTAAAAGCTAACCCACCTGCCTGAGCATTATGCAATTTTAACACCAGTCTATTTGGAATCAAATTTACAATACACACTTAAAAATTAGAGACTTTATGGGGTAATGAGGTTATTGATGAAAAGGGGGGCAAATTATTGTACAGCTACAAAAATGAGCACTATCACCAAATTGTAAATGTAAAAATTTGATTATGTATGCTCTCAACAAAATAAAATTGGGAAAATCTTCCCCTTTCCAAAACAACGAAAGAAAACCCAAAGGGCAGAGCAGTGTCGGTCTTTCCCATGCTGAAAGTTCTGAAGAAAGACTTGAAGCTTGGCGGTGAACTATTGAATGATTTGGTAAGGAGCCCTGCTGGCATTGAGGTCCCTCCTTGGGCAACGAACCACAAGGTCAGGAGTTTGAACCCACCAGCCACTTTGTGGGAGAAAGGTTGAGGCTTCCTGCTCCACTAAAGATTAACAGACTCAGAAACTCAGGGGGGACTCTGCTCCTTCTGGGTCACTATGAATCCTAACTGGCTCAATGGAAATTAGTTTTGTTTGGGATTTATGGGCAAAATATTGAATGACACATGAAAAGTTTAAAAAAAGGATAAACACAGATTTTGTCAATGTTTAATATTTTTGTATGTTGTCCTCTTTTGGGTTCCTTCATCAAGTGCTGCTATTTTCTGTGTATTTAGTACTCCTCTAACTTTAATATTTCTCAACTTCCCTTTAATCTGTTTCACTTCTTCTGTCATTTCTTTTAATTTTCATGTTGCATTTATTTACTCATGTAGGCAAGTCTTTATTTCTAAAACAATTGCATCATTTATATTTAACTTTGCGGGGGAACAATTCCACCTGCTTCCCAGATTTACCTCTGTTGATTTTTAACTCACATCTTGTGCCTTGCACTTTTTTTCTCATGTTGTTTTGCTCAGTTGGAACAAGTGTATTGCAATTTTCCTCTACATTTTCTTGTGATCTTTGGACTTATCTTTAAAACATATTCCTCTGGTATGTTTACCTAGACGGATAATATTCTCTTTATTTCTTTTTTTACGTTTTCAAGAAGTTTAGACTCATGCATTTTCTATTACTGAAGCTCAAAAAAAATTTGTTTTCCCTTAGAAGTTCAACAGCTTTTGCATCCAGACAGCGTTCCTTCTGCTGCGGTTGTCTTCGGTCCAGGGTTCAGCAAGCTGAGACCTGCTGGTTACATTGATATAGGTCTTGTTTTCCCATGGGCCACATGACAAAGGAATGTTTTCCACAGTGGAAAAAAAAAAAAGAAGGATGTGTGATAGAGCTCATGGATCCCACAAAGCCCAAAATGTGTTCTTTCTGGGTCCTGCCTAGGGAAAGATTCCCGAACCTGACTTTAGACTAAACCAGGGCCAGCTTGCTTCCGGAGTTTTCTTGACTGGTTGGTTCCCTCTTCTGCTTGTATCTGGACTGCCCTTTCCCTTCATTCCTGTTTCTCTGTCTGCTCACTGTGAACAGCACTTCCAGTAGTCTCTCACGCACACAGACTCCGTCCTGGACAGCGGCTCCAGCAGCTGGTTGGAGTATTTAGTCACTCGGTCAAGCTGAGTGTGCCTGTGGTCCACTCCGAAGACAGTTGGTGCCGTCTCACGGGGTCCCAGGCTGGAGGCCTCCCTGTGATTTCTCGCTCACAAAAAGCGGACAACCTGCAGGACCTGAAGCTGGTGTTCGTTTGTCCACACTCATTTCTAGTTTAGGGTCTGAGTGCAGCGCTCCTCACCTCCTTTGGTTCTCAATGTTGGGCGTATGCTTTTGACTCCCTACCTCGTCACCAAGTCTCTCTCTTTTCTTAAGTTTTCAGCTTCACCGGGTCTCTTTTCACAGGGTCTCAAGAAGCTCAGCACCGAGACAAACGGCAAGCGCTGATTGCCACCTTGTGCCCAGAAAACCAGCTCGTGTTGTAAAACAGCAGTTACTTCATGGATTAGATGAAATTTATTGTCAGGAAAGTGTTTATCATGAGCATTTCGGTACACTGACTAAATCAATATATTCGTTGTGTTTCTGTTTTTGTTTGTTTTTTTCCCTCCAGAGTCAAGTTCTCATTACGTCATCTCTCTGAAAGCTTTTAACAATGCCGGAGAAGGCGTGCCTCTGTATGAAAGTGCCACCACTCGGTCTATCACAGGTGAGCGACGATTATTTATCCTTTGGCGACAAGGCCATCGGTGCATTTGAGTTGTGGTGCAAAAGGAACACAGACTAAAGTAAAAGATAGCCAAAGAGAGAGACAGAGGACCAGCTCGAATGTGCACACGTATAGCCATGCCTTGGGTACTTCTGACCTCCACCCTCGTTTTTTATGTATTTTCAAAATCAAGTGGAGGGAAGGCATGGCTTTAGAGGATACGGGTGTCTCTCCTCTCCCCAGAACATCACCCTTTGGGGCAGCGGCCTTCACATCATTGAAATGTAGACAAGAGGGTGCCCGTACAAAGCCTGCGCATGCTCAAATGGAACCCCGCTCTCTACAGAGGGCCCTTCTAGCTAAGCCAACCAGGACAAACTGCTCTTCCGAGGTGACTGTGCATCAGGCTGAGTCACACAGATGGCCACTTCCCGAGCTGGGCTTGCGGGTTGCTCCCATTCGAGCCCAGAACCAGTGGGCAGGAAAGGATCGCCTGCTTCAAGGGCACTTCACCTCGAGGAATTCCTTCTTGAGTTAGGCTCTGCCTACCGGCAAGAGGAGCCCTGGCAGTGATGTAGTGATTCCTTGGACTACGATCCAAAAGGTCAGCTGTTTGAGACCAATAGCTGCCCCATGAGAAAGATGGGGCTTTCTACTCCCATAAAGAGTTACCGTCTCGGAGTCCTACAGGGGCAGTCCCACCCTGCCCTGTGGCGTTGCTTTGAGTCAGTATCGACTTGATGGCCGTGAGGCTTGTTTTGTTTGTGTTTTGGGGCCTCTATGCAAGACTTGAGGGAAACGGGCTCAAAAGCCCGAGAACTGCATGGATAGAAATGCAGGCTATACCTGGAGGCTCTTGAGGCTTCTGTGATCTCTGTCACTAGCTAGTCTGGGTTGACTCCAAAAATGGACTAAGACATACCTTTGTGGAACTGTGTAGTGTCTCGGGAGAGCGCCATGAACAGTTGCCCTGCTCAGACATGTGTCTGAAATCGGAAAGCAATAGGAAAACGATCCCATCTCTTTCATTTCGGCTTTAGACCCACCCACCTCCCAAATTCTACAACCTTCAACCCTCCTTTAACACACAAGCCATATTGTCTTAATCAAACCGAAAGATTTGAGGACAGGGTCAGATGGAGAAGCTTAGAGAGCATGAAGAGGTATCTGCCGCCGCCACAAATCCTGAGGGACAGAAATAAAAGGAAATCAGATAAATCGCGGGACTGTTCACATGTGCATGAACTTTGTGCGGCGTGGTTCTCAAGTCTGCAAATCCCATCAACAAACTATCTTGAGAGTGCAGGTGTGGGAATCCAGTCCCACCACACCCTAGCTTGATTGATTCCAACCAGGGTTTCCCAGAAGGTAAGGTTGTTATTTTGGACTCTCTCGGAGTCTTTGGCCGTTGGCTTTGAAGAATGTGATCGGATCTAAAGCGGTTCACGAAATTTTGGATACATGCCAATATCGACGTTTTCCTTTGGAGAGAGTATGTAGCTTCCAGTGAGTCACCAAACGGTCCTGCACGTCCCTCCAAAGGGTCAGAAGCGTTCCTCTGGAGAGTATTTATTATAAAACATGCCATCTGCTAATCCAGAGAGATGACGCCTCAGAGGCCCAGGTGGGAAACCACGAGAGAGCATGAGGAGTGGATGTCCAGGATTGTCATTTCCCTCATTCTCTAGCTTCACCAGCAACAAGGTTGTCTCAAAGATGCCCGACCCCTCTGACAGGACCAGTGCTCTCCATACGTTTCATTCAGCAAGCCATCTCTGTTTTACTTGTTATAAAAGATACTGACTTTGGACTTGTGATCAAGGCACAAGAAATTATTCTACAACCAGCCTTTACTTAAAAAAAAACAACACGCCTCCACTTACTTCAAATCAAGTTCAAAAGACAGAGTCACCGACATGTCAAATGAAAGAAGTCAGTTGACTAGAAATTATTCGCAGCAGAGGTAGTGTTCGACCCCTGCCATCAAGTCCCTTCCAACTCCTAGTGAGCCTACAGACAGAGAATAGAATGGCCCGAGTTGCTCCTGCAGTCTGACAGGTGCATTCAAACTACTGACTTTGGGGTTCACAGCCCAGCTCGTAATCCACTACACCACCAGGGCTCCTTAGTGGATGTAATAGAGAAGTTCGACTACATTGCTCAGAAAGAACCAATCATAGCAGTATCAACTTCTTTCCTGTTAGCATTTGCTGTCAATCTTTAATCCTCAGCTTGCAGCATGTCCAGATTGGTTTCTAAATGGCAGTGACCCCAGAGATACCTTTAATATGACTCTTATCCTAATTAAGCTGAGAAATTAAATAATATCAGAGGTTGGAACTCATGTGAAGAGGCAGCTGGTAAACCAATAAGGAATTGGAGAGACATGCATCAAACCAGACCCTAAAAAAAAAAGCACACATACTTTACCAAATATGGCAGATTTATTATATTGTGTTTTTAAAGTGATAAAGAGAACAAAAAAAATGGATAAGCAGAAATGAAGGTTCAAGTTTACAGAGAAATACCTTCAATAGGTGCGCTGTAGTGTCACATCAAAAGCATTCTCTGTTTCTAAGTTTCTGCAAAGCATTCTGAGTAGCAGCTTGCAGAAAGGGCCAGAATAAAGAAAATAAACACTATCACAAAGGCAATAAGTGGATCACACTAGAGAAAGCCTTGGGCTATGATGTGCTCCACGTGCCCGGGCTCATAGAGTCTGGTGCACTTTGGGGCCCTACCTCACACCACACAGATCAGCACTCAAGCTGTTGGAAGATCCGCCAGGTCAAGTGGGTTAACGAGTTTCACTGTGGCTGTAAAGACTCTCATTTCTTGTTTTGAGAATGCCTCATTCTGACGATCAGGAAGAGGAGAGAGACAGGAGACTAATGAAGTGTGTCATTTGTATTTCTATGTTCTCTAATATTTGACCAAGGCTGTAATGAGTTACAACCCAGATGTAAATGTGCATTATTATTTGTAGAGCCTAGAGGGAACTTTAGCACATCAACTGAAAATTGGTTGGTTCTTCCCAAAACAACTATTAGGAACTGGAATAGCTTTCTCTTTTTAGCAAAAGGTGTGAGGCTGTATTTTGTCGTGTTTTGTTTTTTTAACTTTGTTTTTTTTCTGTTCTGCTTGCACCTCTGGACATGATCCCTAAAAATCCACAGCCAGCAAAGCACCTGGCCAGGAGGGTGGGCGAGGGTAGAGGACATGGAAGGAAGGGCCCAACCCAGAACAACCAAGTGCAGCTAGGTTTCCAGAAGAAAGAAGATGTTTTTCTTTCAATGTCTCCTTCTGACAGAAGGAAAATTGGCCAAAATAAGTATCGCATACATAGTTTTAGAGCAGCAATGCCTACGAGAATGTTCTGCTTTGATGGACACACTCTATGTGTACATTACTCAGTGCACTTGGCACTTACTCCCATGTGGCCGTACCATAACCAAAACAAAGCCTACTGTCATTGAATGGATGCCTTCAAGCTCTTGAAATAGGCTAGTGCAGCAGAGATACTTTGATATTTAATTTTAATTAACTCAAAGTTAAATAGTCCATGTGACTAGTAGTTATATGGACTAGATAGCACAGCTTTAAAAGAAGTCATGAATGAAATGGTAGTCTTATCTTTAATAAATACATATATATGTATATGTATGTATGTGTATATATATATATTCCATAAAAGATACAGGAGATAATTGGCCAAGGATAGAAATGTCTGAATTACATAAATCCATGGATCAAACCAGCAAACAGCCTTGCTTGAAATTTGAGGGAAGTGTTATGGATCTGACTTCACATAAATAAATCAATCATCCTATAAAATAGACTACTCTGAAATCTAGGAGGAGCGGGATTGAGTATTACTATTTCTTGAAGTAGAAATACTTGTACTTTTCAAAAACCTTTAGGGGTAGCTATGAAAGACCATAAAGTTCAGGTGCATTTGTTAAGCTAAGAAATAACCAATCAGATAGCCCACTTATCAAAACAAAACAAAACAAAACAAAGCAAACATTGCTATCAGATCATAGCATCCCTTCAGGACAGGTAGATGTGGCCCATGGGGCTTCCAAGTTTCAGCTCTCTCCAGACACTGTCACATCTTTTGCCTGTGAAATGGTTGATGAGTTTGAACTCTAGACCCTTCAATCAGCAGCCCGATTCATGGCCATGGCACCATCAGAACTTCCTAACCTGCTAACAGCATTCCAGAAACATGCCTGGAATTCCCACTTCTGTCCGCATGTGTGTGTCCCTTTTCTTGGAATGTCACCAGGAATCCAAACGAGTGCCGCGAGACAGCACTGCCTCATTTGGGCAGAACTCTTAGCCCCAGTCCACCAAGCTGACCCATGATTGGGAACCCTGGAGGTGGCCGTGTCCGCAGTGCCCCCTTGATCACTTCATAATCCATTGGGGTTTAAAGGAACTGTAATAATAATAATAATAATAATAATAATAATAACTTTTTAAAAGACATTAAAGGAGATACGGAAGCCTCAGCTCCATCATTAAATTTTAAACACACATTTCTCTTCCCCTCTCTCCCTCTTTCTCTCTTCCTTTCTTTGTTCTGCTTTTGTTTCCTGGGTTTCGTTTTTCTTTCTTTTTCTTCCCTTCAAAGACCACAGCCCAGTAAACTACTAAATAATTCATTGGAAAACAGAGCACTGAATAGGTGAGAGGCATTTGAAATACCGTGGACAAAGTGAAGTAATCATCAAAACCAGCCAGCAGTCGCTCGGCTTTGAACTCTGCCGTTTAAAAAAAATAAAGTCTGTATGTACACAACTGCAGATAGCATGACATGGTAGTAGGTCGTCTCTCCCCAAATGTCATCATGGGCACGGCCGCCGAGCGTCTGCTCTGCTGGTGGGAGTCCCATTGCATCGTATGGAGGTAGGGTTTTAAAGTGGATCTGCCTTAAAAAGTAGCAAACAAAATAGTCCACATCAGACCCTGAGTCTGGTCACCCCAAATGCTTCTCCTCGGATTCTAACGGCCTCCGGGGTCAGCAGAGAGAATTTGCTGGAAAGCTCACATGATGCAGATTTTGATTATGGTGGGATCAAAGCACACGCATTCCTCCCTGCCAACTTCAGCAATCTCCAATAATATAATGTCTCCACCGAGCTTGACAAGATTGGGGGAAGGAAAGTCGAATATATAAATGCCTGAAGACAAACCCGTACTAATGACTCAGTGTGGATGTAGGCCCTATTGGACACTTGGGTACTTTCTCTAAGCGATTCCCACCTAAGGAGGTCTGCCCTTCAAGGTCCTACCAGAAATCTAGTTATGAACTATGTGACCCCTGTGGATTATGTCATTTTGGCTAAATGGAACCACACCTGTCCACAGCACCAAGGAGTGCTTTGTTCTCCATGTGTTTCTCGTGTCAAAACATGCATGCGGACTTAGCGTAAGCTATGAGACCAGTAGACAAGCTGAATCTAGAGAGAGGAGAAAAAAAGGTACTAATTACATTGGTATTTATTTCTTTATAGGAGGAAATTAATCAAATACTCCCCCAAAAGGCAGTTGCTAGTTTAAGTTATTTTGATCAAGCTGACCACTTCTGACTTGTTCTTTTAAGAAACAATGTGCAGCGTTCCCAGAAATGGACTCAAAATATATAGCTTGAAGTGACAGCCAAGTGGATGAAAATCACTCTAAAGAAATGAGTGACGTGGAGGACTGAGAAAAAAAAAAAAAAAAAGAAATGAGTGACTTGTACAAAATATTCAGTTATTTTTGCAACAGAGAAATACAATTTCTAATGTGTTTTCCGATGGAATTAATTGCATTTTTTTCTGTTCTTCTCATGTTCCCTTTCATCATTGTTGCCATGCATTTAACTCATTGTGATGTGTTACCACTGATATTTATTTTTTGACTTTTCTTTGCATATTTCTTTGTTTGTTTCATTTGGTGGGTTTTGAACCCAGATCCCACTGACCCCGTTGATTATTATCCTTTGCTTGATGATTTCCCCACCTCCGTCCCAGATATCTCCACCCCCATGCTCCCACCAGTAGGTGTACAGGCTGTGGCTCTTACCCATGATGCCGTGAGGGTCAGCTGGGCAGACAACTCTGTCCCTAAGAATCAGAAAACGTCTGATGTGCGACTTTACACTGTCCGGTGGAGGACCAGCTTTTCTGCAAGTGCGAAATACAAGGTGAAGTTCTCATTGATGGTGTGCAATTTTAAATGAGCTGTGATTTGTTTAACACGTTGTTTTAAAGGTGGCCTGGACTGCCATGAGTCATTTCGCTTCAGTGACACTGAATGCAAAAACAAAGCATTCTAATAACCCAATGTCTAAAATTAGCATGAGAATAATTGTGTCTTAGGAAATAATTCTGTGGCAAGGAGAAAAAACATCAAGAGCTGCAAAATGTTATTTGAATTCCACCAGATGCTGGTTTTGTATAAATGATGTGGTTCTGTATAAGGGAGTGTCATTTTCTGCTGAAAATAGCAGGGCTCGACATTCATTGTCTGGGTAGATTTTAAGGTTCCCTTTTTCCTTTGGGATCTAGATTGATGCCAATGGCAGCCCTGCCAGTGTCACAGAGACCTGTGTTGCAAGGAGTATCTGTCTGGGAATACATGTCTTGAAGATAATTTGTTTAAATCTTTATAGCTGCCTTAGAAAACACAGATGCCATTACCATCCACATCCATGTTTAAACTTGAAGTACCCTTGTGCCGTAAAAAAAACAAAACCAACCTACAATTCACACTCCCCTTTAACAAATCTGAATCAGCCCTCTCATTCCTGTCCCCATCATCACCATCTCACCTGTTCTCCAGAGCTCAGTGTTATTGTTGTTGTTGTTGTGTACCATCAAGTCAATTCTGACTCAGAGAGACCATATGTGACCGTGTAGAGTTGCCCAAAGGAATGTCTTAGGGTGTAATCTGTAGTTTCAGAAGGCAGATCACCATATCTTCTTGTTTACAGAGCCACTGCTTGTAAGGACCAGCTGAGTATTTAATATGACATCACCAAGACACCTTTAGATGCCCCCTCCCCGCAAAGAAACAACCACAATGCCAAACCCACAGTCACGGAGTAGATTCCAACTCATAGCAACTGTTCAAGACTGAGTAGGACTTCTCTTTAGGCTATCTGAGACCATCGAATCTGTATGAGAGCTGACAGCCTTGTCTTGCTCCTGCAGAGCCCCTGGAGCATTAGAACCATTGATATTTCAGTTAGCAGCCCAGTGACTAACCCACAGCAATACCAGGGCTCCTTAAGAGCGCCCCAGAGGTACATATTTAGTTCATATCCTTCAACTTCAGCATTCCCAGCAAGTAGTTATCTACTGGGCCATTGGATGACATTGTAAGCTTACCATAATATCAGTAGCTACAGATATAGATTGTAGAAGAAGACTTAGTTCAAGAAGTGCGAATCAAATACCTACAGTATATCTAGAACTATGCTAAATTGTAGTCTATTTTGAAATAAACATGGTTCAGCGATTGTTTCTTAGTATGTTATCTACAATTTTGTATTGAATTATGTACACTAAGTTCCATAGATATACTTGAAATAATTCCTAAGTTATTCAATGGATACCTGTGAAAACAAGAGAGTAAATATCACTCAGTACCCAAGAAATCAAGTCAGGATCTTCATGCCCTTCTACACCCATCCTCTTTATCCCTCGCCTATGGTAGTGTTCAGGGAGGTTTGGGATGTCCTGATACTCTAGTTCATATTCATTTCACTGAAGCACCTTGGAGGTTAATCAAGCCTCACACCACTGGTTACTTGGAGAGATAAAATATCCTTTGGGAATTTCCGACTCCAAAGACACTGACAAGGTAGCAAAAACCCAACGACAATTTTCTAAGTCTTCCTCCTCCTCCTTTCTGTACCCACGTTGGATATGATTCTAGTGCCTTTCTACTTTGGAACTGCATAAAATTCACATTTCATCATAAATCAGATTTTTAGTCGAAACCATTTAAAAGGCAGTTTTCTCTGGTACTGCTGCCCTGCTAGGTCAGGTATTTGGAAAAACTCTCCAGGCAAGTCCAAATAGTATCATTGATATAAGATATGCTGAAAGTACCCCATCCATCTCCTTACAGTATTAGATTTAAAACTCAGCAAAGCTATAAATAAAGATAACATTATCAGATAAGACAACCAATGAAACATATGAGAGCATTAAAAAAAGCAATCTCTCTATATAGAGAGATTGTCCAATTCTAAGTTTACTTTCAAAAGATGACTTTCTCCACTTTAAAAATGTTATGCTCATAATGACTGTACTTTGGAGGTGCATTCGTCCTGCAGGATGGTCGGGACTACTTTGCCAGAGTGGGGACTCTTCTGAAGGACAATGATTGTTCTCTGCAGAATGGTCTGAGTTCCAAAATGTCTTGAGGCAAATTATTTTAGCTGAATTGTTAGTGAGGCTGACCCAGGATTATTGAGTCTCACTGAGAAGGTCTTTAAAGTGAGACCCAGCACCAACAACCCTGGTATTCTTAGTAATGGCTAATTTCTCTTATGGTTTGAAGTTTGAGACTAGGAAAATGAAATAAATATATGTTTGAAACGGTTTCTCTCCTTACAATGTTTTCTGATCTCCAGTTTTCAATTTCCACTACACACTGTGCATCCATTCTCTGGGAAGAAGAAGGCTTTGTTGGAGAGAATCATTTAGGAAAAATAGCAAGGCTAAATCAAGAACATATCTGTCTCATTGGAAAGAAATGAAAAACATTTACATTTTATAAATGATAGTAATAGGTATCTTTGAATGTACAGTTTGTCCTTTTTGAACCATTGTCTCATATATAAGCATACCCCCCAGAGCTTTATGGGGTAGAAAGATGCCCACGATACAGGGGAGAATGGGGAAATACATAAATGATGCTCAGTGTTGCTCAGTAGTAGATCTTGCTACATCATGTCATGCCAATTAACCTGCCCAACTGAATTTTTCTCATCTATGGGTTAGGAATAGTCACTCCTGCCTTAAAAGTAATAAGTAAGACTACGCCATTGTGTAAGTATTGGTTGCATGGCTTGACAAAAGTGCCCCGTTCAACTAAATGGAATTACATTCACCTGGTTTCTATCATCATTGCATTGTATAAACAGGAAGATGGAATGCCACCAATCCAAACATGAAGGGAGTGGGTGGGCAGCTAGTTTGTAAAATGCTGTCTGAAATATCCCATTTTGCCGTACGTCTTTTTCCGACAGGACTTCGCGTGAAGGAGTCCGCGTCCACTTCATCGAGTGTCATTTCAAGCAGCAATCCACACATTCATATTTTGATTTTCAAAAATGCTCCATTAACGTTCCAGATCAAAAAGAATTATTTTCTGCAGGGTTTTATAGAGCATCGAGAATCAGTCTCAGCCATCAAGATGCTTCCAGCTAGGTGTGGAAATTAAAATTATACCTAGCATGGGAAAATGGATGAACTATCATAGATAATATATATTTCATGCTTACTCTGGGCCAACCACTGTATGTTCTCTAAATTATCTTAGTCCTTGAACAATGCCATGCACTCAGGACCAAGGTAATCCTCATTTTACAGATAAGCAAATTGAGAGCTAGGGTGGTCTCACCTTAACATTCTACACTTACAAGAAATAATTGGTCTTGGGTTTGAAAAGTATCTCTAGATTTGTTTTATGAAAAGAGGATACTTCCCATGAAATCTCAGAGAATCCTCAATAAAGTCATAGCGTTTATACTAGAACCACTTATTTATAGAATTCAAGTGTGTCCTTGCAGAGAACAAACAGAATAGTACTGTGAAGAGCAGTGGTCAGTGGCCTCCTACATGCCAGTGGTGTCTGTCCCCAGAGAGACTGGTTCTACTCTCTTTCTTGAAGCAGTTCTCAAATCTTGTTTCCTTTACTTAAAAACCACCTTCATTTCTTAGGCTCAGAGAACGATCACACAGGAGGGTAAAATTGAAAGTTATGTATCAGCATTTCAAAGTTCAGCTGCCCACCCCCAACCCCACAATATGCTTTCTGTTTTGGTTGATGAAATTCTTTCTTCCTGAGCCTATAAATTATTCTCATGTTTATGTAGGACATGCATTTTTACAGCTATCCTCTACGAAGAACGATTGATAGATGTTTAGGAGATAATCACTTGAATTGGAAAAGTGGGCTCCCCATTAACATTATTAGTGGAGTTAAATATTTATTTGATGCTGTAATGAAATGTTTTTCATTGCTATACTAAGAAGGATTAATAGTGGAATAAAACGAAGATACCATACTAGAGTAGTGAGTGAGAAAGTAGATATGACACACAGGTAGATCTAGTAGATCACATGCAGTAAATAAAAAAAGGGAAAGTAAATAGTTAATTGTTAAAAATCAGAATTGATATACCAAGCATAAATTGATATTAAAAAAAACATAACTTGTCTCAAAGTAACCTGCTCCTGTAGAAAATGTCTATGAACCTGGGAAATCCTATGCATTTTCTTCAGAGCCATTTTAATCTTTGGAATAAATAAAGATAAGTGACTTGCTATGAAAATTTCCTTAGCATTTTGTTGAAAAGACAGAATAAATGCAGAAGATTCAAATTCATACTGTCATTATTTTGCATAGTAATGTAATTATGTCGTATTTATCAAATTTGCCATTCCTTTCCTGATCAATTGCTCCAGTGATCATCCAGTGTTTCACATAAAATGCATTTTTTAGACATGGGAAAATTAAAATCCTAATGAATTACCTTTGTTACCAAAGACACAATGACAATAACAAGAATAATAAATACAACACATGTAACATTGAACTACACTGAAATATATATTTGGGATATTATATTTTCACTGGAATCCGTGCAGACAAGCTCAAAATTGGAATTCCCAAAAGGAAATGGGAGTTGTGCTGTCACTGCAGTTGTCGTCTCACTTGGGAAAATGAGTCAGTTTGAGGGCCCTTTGGAACAACTTCACATTTACATCTACTGTTACTATCCTGGAGGAACATTCAGTCAGCTTACTCTGGTTGGCCTCAAGAAGGTGTGGCCTTCCCTTCCAGGTCTTTGATAACTAACCCCTTTTTTTTTCCTGCAATAAATAGTCTAGTAAAAATGTCTCTGATAGCCTTGGTAGTCTTTTTATATGACTCGAATAATCAAGTTGATAGAGTACATTTTTGTTTCTCTTGGCTTTTTCCCACTGGTATAGTCAGAAGACACAACATCTCTGAGTTACACGGCAACAGGCCTCAAACCCAACACCATGTACGAGTTCTCAGTCATGGTGACCAAAAACCGAAGAACGAGCACATGGAGCATGACCGCACATGCCACCACGTATGAAGCAGGTATGTGACCAAGCACTCGTTTGGACATTCGACTTCACTACAAGTGTTTCCTTGGGTCTGTAGAAGTTAAAACACAGGCATACTCAAATGTCTCAGGGACACCTTACCAGGCAAAACAAACAAACAAATAAAATCAAACCGAGAGACTTTCAGGCCGTTTTAACTCATAGAGATCCTATGGGACAGAGTAGAAGTTCCCCGTGAGGCGTCCATGGCTGTCACCTTGACAGAAGCAAACTTCCACATGTTCCCCCTCAGAGCAGCGGTGGGCTCCAGCTTTCTGTTGGCAGTGGGGTGCTTAAGGACTGCATCACCAGGGCTCCTTAATCACAGTGGAGCCTATCCGAAAAATTTTATACTTTATAATTCAAAGAACTTCATACATATTATTATTATTCCAACTCCAAAACGAAGAAAATGAACCTTTGATGCATTAAATGATCTGATCACACTATAAATAAAGAGCTTCCTTAAGTTAACTTGGATCATCTGATTATAAATCATCTTTTTGATATATTTAAGCAAAGACCAATCCACTGAGCTCTAACATTCATTGAAATTGTTCTCCTCCATATATATTAATATCCTTCACACCTGGAGGTGTGATCCTGCTTTAAAACAGGATGTTCTTTACTTACGTGAAGGTGGTCCTTCGAGAGCAGCTTACGGCCTGGACTGATGCCCTTCTCAGCTATCAAAAGAGAGGGATCAGGCGATGATACACACGAAGGGTAGACAGGCAATGCCGCTCCAGACCTTGGAGTACCGAGGGGCTGGCAGACCCCAGAGACTAGGAGAAGGGTCCACGGGAGAAGGAACATGCTCTGAAGATCCGGAGCTGAACTGTTGGCCTCCCGAGCTGTGAGGAACTCCATCGCTGTTCTCTAAAGCCGCGCGTTTAGGATTGCTGCGGTTGCATTATCGCAGCCCTAGCAAACCGACACATATACCGATCCAATTGTCTTTGAGCAAAACTCATGGTAGGTATTTTGAAAGAAATCAATACAACACAAAACACTGCATGACAACTATATTCTAAAGAGTTCTTGTCCTAAAGAACCTGAGTTCTACATGGGAACAGGTGGTCCTGTTTATGCATTGGGGAAAAACAGTACCGTATATACTCGTGTATATGCCGAGTTTTTCAGCACATTTTTCCTGCAGTTTTTGTGGCAAAATGAGGTGCCTTGGCTGATATTCGGGTCGGCTCATACTCGAGTATATATGGTAATACAAGGGACTACAGTTAGGCAATTTGAAATAATTCAAATCTAGAGTGACAAAAGTCACTGTAAATTTTACCAATCACATCATAAATGTAGAGTTTATTACCTCAGCAGAGATGTGGGTTCCTTGGCATTTATAGTTCACTTAATGCAACATCTGGAGAATGTAGGCTTTAACATGTTTCCGTAATTGGTTTTATCATATTTGGAACAAACCAAGCTATACATTTTCAAATTAGAGAAGTCTCAAAATAAAAGCTCTATGTCGATAAAGCTCTTCTTTGTGGATTAACTCGAGTTTCTCTTGTTCTTAGAATGTGTACCATGGTGTGCACTTCTCGTCTATATTCCAAATCCAGTTAGAAGGTGCATTGTGAATATGTGTTCATTTCCTGTGGGCCCTTCTCTTCTAATGAGCTTTCTAGTTGGCCTGATTTACGTCACCATCCTCCTTCCGACTTCGCATGGTTTGCGCCCATTGCCTCTTCCTCCCAGGATCCTGTCCTGAAAGCCCAAATTCCAGCCTCCTAGAAAGAATGGCAACAGCTGAATGAGCTATCTGCTGAGGGGAGAACAAAAGGTCTCTCTCTTTCTTGTTAAAGGGAGATGAAAGGAGTTAAATGTAACACATTTGGTCTTCCCTGAATGAAATCGGAGTAATACTTTTAACACATAATAATTTTCCTGTAGTGCCAGCAAATTCATTCAATGTTCTCCTTCATACACGTAGAGTGCACACCAATGTCCAAGTTGATAAATGCACCGTATGGATTTCTCATCAACTGTCTAGCCTTAGAGGGACACCAGTGGTGAGACCCATTGCTGATAAAAAGATATTATCTTGAAATGTGGTTCGAAATGTGGTTCGTAGAAAGGGCAGTTGTCAAATCGGATAATGATCCAGACAAAGGTGTAAATAGCCTACGGAGAAGATCCCTGGGTGATGATGAGAAGCAAGAAGTAATTCACAAGTGTCTGCCGGTTTTGCCACTGTGAGAAGGGAATAAAGTGAATGAAATCGTTTGTAAGGTTGGTTTCCACATCTACAATCATGTAAAGAGTGTACAGGGGTGCATTACTATGCCCTGGTGCTGAAACTGCTCATGATAAAGATAACCATGGCTGGACAATGCTTGAAATGAAATATTTCATTTGTCCATGTCATAAGTCTGCTAAATATAAATAACTTAAAATAACTGGAAGGACACTGGGTAGCTTAAAGAATTTAAAAGTCCAATATCAGAGAAACGAGAAAGCAAGAGTCCTGCACTCTGAACTAGAGATGAGACAAGATAGGAACACCACCCCCCACCCCCCACCCCCGCCCCTATGTGCCTGTTGTGGCCGTGGAAGGAAGCTCCTTGTTTTCCTCCTGGCCTCAAGATGTAATTTCCCAAGAGAGGGCATCTGATCGGCATTTCTTGAGTCATGTGGGCACACAACTTAAAGAGAGAATGGGGCAAATACCATAAAACTATCAATTTTGCTCCTATCAAGTCCACATGAAACCGAGTGGAGGTGGTTCCCCAAAGGAAAAAGCAGAGTGCCTCTCTAAAAGACAGGAAAAGAGCACGATGCTGAGCAGTACACGCAACAGAAGTCTACAACTTTCCATACGACAAGTGTTATCTTCCATTCGTGCACTTGCGGAAGAAAGTCAAGTGGAGGGAAAATTGTGTTCAAGCCAGAGAAACTAGTAGGTAGTGTGTTTTTTTTTTCTAGTGGATTTTATATGATGTTCAATTGTAGTTGGGAAGGACTTGAACTAGCATTTGGTATAAAACGAAATGAATTACAGGCTTTAGCTTTGAGAGAATTATAATACAGCAAAGTAGAAGAAGAAAAGAATACCTGAAGTTCAGTCTTAGGAGTATGGAGCAACAGAAACCCAAGCAAATAGCTCAAAGGACCTAATTCTCTCTGGAGAAATGAGAAAAAGTTTCGCACAGGAGGGGATATTTGAGCTGTGGCCTGGGTGGCTCATTGCCCCACCAGAAACTTCCAGATGACAGGAATAGCACGTTCAGGCACACACAGCATCAATTTCCCCCAACCACACCTGATTCCCTCAAACAATCCAACCCTCTTCATTTGGCTGCTTCAAAATAAACATCTATTTGAATTTTTCCACAGTTAAGAGGAAAGAGCCTATTTTGAGTAGAGATGAAGACTGATCATTTCAAATTACATCCATAATCTCAAAAATCTTATGTTTGATATAATAACCCAGGCAAATTTGTAAATGTATTTTACTTTCTTATCGAGACTAGAAAATATTTTGAATTAACTAATTTTTTTATTTTAAAATTAACTCCTTATGAGACTGTTTCAGCTCTGTGGTCTGGCTACATCAAATCTGCTTTTCTTACAAGAAAGCCCCTGAGCTAGGGATTTCCTCCACTTCATTTAGCACAGAAATGTGTCCTCTTGACAGAGATCAACTGCACTTGACCAGCAATTGTTTGCTTGCTGTTTCCCGCTGCTTCTCTTCCTCTTCCCTGTATTCTCTTTCCCCTTTTCGTTCTCTTCTCCCCCTTCTCTTGTTCTCTTTTTTCTTGTTTGTTTAAAAGTTGTCATTGCAATCACATGTCACTTTTGTTTGCTTTGAATCCTAGTGGCTTTAAAAAAGGCACCAAACCCAAACCAAACTCACTGTTATTGAGTGGATGCCAACTCACAATGACCCTATAGGACAGGGTAAAATGGCCACGTGTTTCCAAGACTGAAACTGTTTAAGGGAGTAGAGAGCCACTTCTTCTTCCCACTGAGCAGCTGGTGGTTTCAAACTGCCGATCCTTCCGACTGCAACCCAATACATAACCACGAAGCTACCAGGGCTCCCTTGTAAGAAAAAAGACATTGGACATAAAATAGTCTGAAAAATGGGAATGATTGGTTTTCCCTACATTTGGTCTTATATGTGGGATGCCATTCAAAATAGTGATTGAAACCAGAGAGTTGATAATGCTCAGATTCCACACAATAGACCACAGGAGGAGCATCATGGGAAAGCAGAGAGAGTGAGGATGAATTTTGAAGGAGGACTAGGTTTTGCCTCCCTTGCCTTTTGGTACTCAAGCATTCCTACCTCAAGATAAAAAAAAAATTCTTCCAGAGCCCAACCATAAAATTCAAACATTGCCTGGCTATCAAAAGATATAGTATTTGGAGTCTTAAAAGCTTGAAGTTAAACAAGTGGCCATCTAGCTCAGAAGCAAAAGAGCCCACATGGAAGAAGCACACCAGCCTGTGTAATCACATGGTGCCAAAGGGATCAGTTATCAGGCATCAAAGAACAAAAAATCATATCATTGTATGCTCACCTCCCTGATATGATTGCTGAAGACAAATGGGTGCATAAGCAAATGTGGTGAAGAAAGCTGATGATGCTCGGCTATCAAAAGATATAGCGTCTGGGGTCTTAAAGGCTTGAAGGTAAACAAGTGTCCATCTAGCTCAGAAGCAACAAAGCCCACATGGAAAAAGCGCACCAGCTTGGGCGACCATGAGGTGTCGAAGGGATCAGGTATCAGGCATCATCAGAACAAAAAATCTTACCATAGTGAATGAGGGGGATTCTGTGGAGTGGAGACCCAAAGCCCATTTGTAGGTCACTGGACATCTCAGGGAGGAGACGAGCCAGTCAGGATGCGATGTAGCAACGATGAAAAATACAACTTTCCTCTAGTTCCTAAATGCTTCCTCCTCCCCCACTATCATGATCCCAATTCTACCTTACAAATCTGGGTAGACCAGAGGATGTACACTGGTACAGATTGGAACTAGAACTACAGGGGATCCAGGGTGGATGATCCCTTCATGGCCAGTGGTGTGAGTGGTAATACTGGGAGGGTAGAGTGAGAGTGGGTTGGAAAGGGGGAACCGATTACAAGGATCTACATGTGATCTTCCTGTTGGATGGACAATAGAAGAGTGGGTGAGGGGAGACATCGGACAGGGCAAGATATGACAAAATAATAATTTATAAATTATCAAGGGTTCATGAGGGAGGTGGGAACGGGGAGGGAGGGGAAAATGAGAAGCTGATGCCAGAGGCTTAGGTGGAGAGCAACTGTTTTGAGAATTATGAGGGCAATGAATGTACAAATGTGCTTGACACAATGGATGGATGGATGGATGGATTGTGATAAGAGTTATATGAGCCCCTAATAAAGCGATTAAAAAAAACCCAAACATTGATATCAAACTTCATGTAGATGAATGGGATTATGGCTACTAAGCTTGGAGAATTGTGAGCTACCAAGAAGGAAAGCTAACATCACACCAAACCGTATCACTCTTAGTTTGTGTTGAGTTGGCTCTTACTGGGGAGACCCATAGACGACAGAACGATGAACTGTGCATGATCCTGTCCAACCTCCCTGATCATCGGCAGTGAGTGCACTGTGGGGGCCACTGTGGAGTTCCTGCCACCTAAGGGCTCCTTTCCAGAAGTACGTAGAACAACATTCTATCATGATCAGTGGGGTTTCCATGGGCTAATTTTGATAAGTAAACCATTAAGGCTTTCTTCCAAGTCAGTCTTCATCTGAAGTTCTGCTGGCACCTGTGCAATAGAGGTGACCCTGCTTGAGCATTGAAATGTGGGTGGCAAAGCTTCCAGCATGGCAGCAACCTGCCAGCCACCATCAAACCAACTGGCCGACTGGTCTTGTCTTTGCCATGTTGTTGTGAGGTACTGTGGAGGCGGTTCTGATTCAGGAGGACCCTACATACAACGGAACAGAACACTGCCGGGTCGTGCATGTCAGAACAATCCTCACAAGTGTCCTTCTGTTGGGGTGATAGACAGTGAGAAAGCAGGAGTGCGAGAAGCCTGGAAGATATTAGACTGGTTCAGTCAGTTTGCTGCCACCGTTAAAGGATGTTTAGAATTTCATTAAGCACAATATGTGGGGGGAGGGGCGCATGGTGGGAGTAGCTTTTAAGAAGGACAGTTTCATGCCAGAATAATACCAAGGTCTTGATGGATTACTTACCTCCCTATTTTAAAATATTTATTTGACGTGTCTTTAAAAGAAACCTAGTATTTACATAGGAGGAAGATGCAATTTTCTACTCATAAACTATTACAGTCTCGGATGCTCACTGGGGCAGTTCAACCCTGTCCTGTAAGTCAGCATTGACTGGATGGCAGTGAGTGAGTGAGTGAGTGAGTGAGTGAGTGACTCTTTACCTCACCAAGATGTTTTCACCTGAGTTTCAACTACTTTCTTTAGCCTCGAAGGCAATACATCTTCCTTAGGAGTCTAAGAGTTGTAACTAAATGTTGTCTCCTGGAGACAAATCAATCTCATGGAGGATGTATACATTCCCTTGTTTTTAAGATGGTCCTCATATTTGTAGTATAGAGCTCCCTTGAAAATGCCAGCTCTGGGTCCCCCCCCCCCCCATCATCACAGCTTTGGAAGTGCATTAGAGCATACGTTCTGAGCACCCTGTTTCGCAAAAGGGTCTGGGTGGCAGCGGCAGCCCAAATCCATTCGCAGAGTCTCCACATGGATGGTCTCCATTGAACGATTTCTGTGCATTCACCAAGGCTGTAGCGAATCTCACCCTCCGGCAGAGGGCCTGGGTGAGTAGATGGCCTCCATCCGCTCTGGCCAGCCGAAGGAAGGGCAGTCTCTTTCTGAGGGGCTTGCCTCCTCGGTAGGTGCTTGATGGAGGTCACGGTACCGAGGTCAGTACAGAAGGCCACATAGTCAGGAGTCAGGCCCTATCAATTTGACCATGACGGGCCCTCGGTCTGAAGGCCCAGGACCAATCTTGTCGAGCTCTTCTCGTGAGGCACATGTCCCAATCACGATCCCGTCCCTGCCTCTGTCGTCCCACCTGTAACCGGGATGTATTGCTCTACCACCAATAATGCTTCTGTGATAGCTCGCTCCCTGCCTCCCCATTCTATTTATTTCACATCTTAGTTCTGAACCCTCAGATGCCCTTCCAGCCTCGTGCACGTGGCTCCCCCCTCCGTTGATGTGCGTGTCTTGGTGCCTTGTCTTTCAAGGCTTCCTACTCCATTCAAGACGACGGTTTCTCTTGTGCCCCAAAAGAGAAGTCACTCAGCTTCCACGGAAAAGCACCACCTTTGTTTTTTTCTTTTCTATTTTTGTTTCCAACCCTCGACATCAATTATACATGGTAAAATAAGCATGCTCCATTTCATGACTGATTGTGTCAGCGCCATGATGGAAAGTTCCAGCAGGGTCGGTTTGCTTTCACTGACGAGGCCCTGTCTGTCTCATCCCGTAGCCCCGACCTCTGCCCCCAAGGATTTGACAGTCATCACTCGAGAAGGGAAGCCGCGTGCTGTCATCGTGAGCTGGCAGCCTCCCCTGGAAGCCAATGGGAAAATTACTGGTAAGCATCTCAGCTGCATTTCCCAGCTTTGCTCAGCCTTGGCCTTGGCTGTGTACTTCTCGTGCTGGGCAAGCCTTTTGTGTTCCCTTTTCTCTCTAAGCATCTCCTTGGACCCCCAGACCCTCTCAGATTGCTTCCCTTTAACAGCCCCCTCCCCACCCACCCCCACCCCCACTGACTGGAGTTCTCTTTATGGTGCATGTAAATCCACACAGAGACATATTTCCTTCAAGTTACCTATCTATATTTAAATTATGATGGCCCCTTTGCTTTGCCCTCTGGGCCGCACTTGGGCCACCTTCTAATGGAGTGCCCCGAGCAGAGACAAGGAACCCGAAGGCAGTTGTTTGGCCGTTATGAAGCACAAAAGACATCTCATGAGTGCATAGTTTAGCAGGGCACACAAGAAAGCGGTCTGTCGGGAGTTTCCGCTTTTCACTTAGCTCTCAGCACCTCATTGAAATCATAAGGTTCAGAAAACACTTAATATTGACGGACAGAAATTGAACTTAATGAATATTTCACAGTGACAGACTTTATTTTGCCAAATATTGCTGATAACATCCATGCCTAATTAAAGCATCCTTTAGAAGCCTGTAATGTTAATTTAGTATGAAAAATATAATGGATTTCTATCAAGGATTTTGCATTTAAATGATCACTTTAGGCTTTTAATAGATGTCTCCATAGCATATAATTATTATGAAAAATATTGTACAATTCAGAGTGTGCACATTATAGTCTAATTAACTTGAGCCATTGCATTAGGCACATGTGAGGGCCCTCTTTTCTTCCTTTCTCCCGTACAAGAAGTGAATAGCACTGTTATAAATGACCACAGTGACTCGGGCTTTCAGTGATTCCGAGATAAGCATAGTAGTTCAGATGCTACACTAGTTTTAAGGGGTCTCCTCTCTGAATTTGATCATATGAAAATCCCAAATGTGATGGAAATTTAGGCTGAGGACTTGTTTTCTCTAGGAAATTGCTCTCATTGCAATAGCAAACAGACTTTTTATTCCAGCTGGCAGAAATATGGCATACAGAAAAGGAGCATCAAGTCTTTCCAAGTCTCATCCGCTCGATTGTCAGTGTGCATTTAAGGCCGAGGCTCGCTCATTCCAATGTTCTTGCTCTTTTTTCCCCCTCCTCACAGCGTTTAGTGTTATGATCTGTTCCTGTTTCGGTATGTTGGAAGATTTTGATTTGTTTATATGACTCTTTTATTATGTTATAACCAGTCATTGATATGCATCTGATAAATCAACAGATTGCACGTCTAAGGAGAAAACAGAAGAGAAGTTGTCTAAGTAAAAAGAAATCTGGAGGAAAAACAAAATACACCTTTTTGTAAAGGATACAATCAATCATATCCTACCAAGTTCTCCACTCTCAACTTCAATAAATCTCTTCCAATTGTCACTAGAGCCAACAGAATGTGTTCTCCAATTATGAAAGGAAGCTTATCTTTGTTTTCTAAGGGAAAAAAGGGGGAAGGCTTATGTATATGATGAAATGCAAATTAGTGTGACAACAATATTCTGTCTGTCACCAACCTAGGGGGGGGATCAGAAAACTGTGTCCACATACCTTATTTAGAGTTGCACATTCAACAGGTCCCCAAACTAGAAATCGGTCCACTCACTTACCATGGAAAACTAAAACTAGAGAAGATGATACTTTGTGACCTGTATAGTAGTGATCCATTTTTTAAAAATACAAGATAGAATTATTATTGAGATAGATTGACTCATGGAGAATAAACACAAAGAACCCTTAAGGGGATTTCTGTTCTGTGTTCATTTCATCACTTCAGTCAATAGCATTCAGAGATCAGTATGATAACAGGATAAAATGCTCGACCACTCAATAAGGGTCAACGTTTGTCTACACTCTGCTTCGACTGACATGTACAAAGGGAAACACATGTTCCTTCAGAGTCTGATGGGGCATTTGGGTCCCTCAGTGGCGGGGTGGATGTGTGCCCAAGTCCCCTGGGGATGTCTGCTTTTCTGAGCCTTCACCTGTGTACCGCAGACGAGTGAGGTGGTGAAGCATCCAAGCTTCTGAGATGGATGCTTGAGCAACTCATTCAGCCTCCCTGAGCCTGGCTTTCTCACCTGTAAAATGAGACTAGTAATAGAACCTCTCTCAGAGAATTGTTATAATAAAACGCTGTTAAAAGTGCTCATCAACAAATGAGCTGTTTTTATTCCTCTTTGAAATCTACTTTGGGATGAAGCTTTGCTACTGTGCCTAGCATAGGACCCAGATCATCAGGTTAGAAATAAGTAGGGTCTGTACAAGTAAAGCCTAAGAGAGAAAGAATGAAGAGGTCCAGGTAATTTTGGCTAATTCCAGTGCCTAAATGCTCTGGTCATAAATACAGTTTTAGAACTTAGACTGAGATTTTCTGAAGAAAAAAATGAATCAGGCTCAAAACATATTAAGCATTTATCATAGACTAGGCATTCTATTAAATACTTAGGTACATTTAGTGATCACATATTCCTATTATTTTATTTTTAAATGAAGAGAAGAAGATTTTCTGGGATACACAAATTACCTAAGTTTAAATAAGCAGGAAGTAGCAGAGCTAGGATTTAAAACCCAGGTTCACACACTGTTACATTGGGCTTTTTTTCCTCCAACATATCAGTATTCTACTGGTCTCATCTGTGATTCTCAGGAGATCTCTAATTCAATTGACCTGGGGAGCTTAGTATTTTTTAATGATCCCAAGTGGTTTTAATGTCCAAGCAGGACTGTGAAACATTGGACTTATCAATTGCTAAAGCACTCAGCAGTACAGTATATAAGACCTGGAATCAACATGGAGACAAAGAGAAGCTCAGGCCAGTCATAACTTCAGTGTGTTTATCAGTAGAGTCCAACCCTGAAAATATATTCTCTCTCTGTACAGCATTTGGGAATCTAGTCCGATTCTCCTTTCTTGAAAGCGTCTTCTCTCTTGACTTTTGTAAAGTCACATGACCACTTTTCCTACCTGTTCCCCAGGCTACAGCTTCTCAGTCTTGCTTGTGGCTCTTTCACCTGTCTCTTAAATGTTTCCAAGTGTGCACGTCATGTTAGTGATATGGAGAAAGAAATAGCAATAAGATACTGGCGGTAGCATTTATTAGTTACTCTGTAGAAGATAATGTAGTAGAACCGTCTATGTGGTGTTTTAAAATTGCATTAACTCAGAAGGTAACATCGAGAGAGGCTTACATGAAGCAAGTTACCAGGGTGGCACAGCTAGTGAATGGTAGAGCTCTGGTTTGAGGTCAGGGTTTCTCGAACACACAGCTTGGGATTTTTGATCACTGAGAAGGAGAAAGATGATGCCAAAAAAAAAAAGATGGTGCCTGCTTTCCTCATCAATCTACCAATAAATTCAATTTTCAGAATCAATGATATCCAGATTAGAAGTTCTCGTTAAGTTGAGCCCTTGTTGGTAGGGAGCACACTGGGTCTTCCGAGCACTGAGCCAGCCCACTGCCTTGTGAAAAGAACACAGCAGTGTACGGAAGGAAACGTGGAAAAGGACAGGAGGTTCAACAGATGGATTTGAGCATACTCTGAACACTTTGGTTTTGGAAGACAGCTACCTGAATAGAGTCAAAATGGCAGGTAGATAAAGTTACGTTTTATATGAGCGGGCTTCAAAAAGTTCATAGTAAACTTCTATTATTTGTTCATTCCATTTCTCAAGAATTCTTGAAGCCCCTTCCAATTGTGACACATGTGATTCCAGTGTGTGAGGCCCCCACTAAGTCAACAATGCCAGAGACTCTTACCACTTGTCATAGGAGATAATAGGTCATTCGTTAGCTGGTTGTGGTGCATGACAAATGAAAACAAGTTTGAAAAAGGTGGAGGAAGAGGATAGAGGAAGAAAATTGGACACCGAGGAAAAGAGTCGTAGGTACATAAAGTTAGTGTGAGTAAACACTGAGTTTGTTCCAACCTGTGGTTATGTAGAAATCTGCAAAGTGAAATATTAATGATGGATTTAAGTTGATATAAATATAGAATATTTACACAGCCAAATCATGTTGTACACCTTCTGGACAGCTGACTTGTAGAGGCTGGATGACATGATCTGTTTCTACTCTTCATGCAAGTTCTATCATTTCAGAAGAAGAACAAGAAAAATAGAATCGGGTTTCTTCACATATGTTGGAAAATGGCACAAATATAATTTCAAGGTGTCAGAAGCTGGTGAACGATTGTATCCTCAGCTTCAGCTGCCTGGGAGCAGACTGTCATCTTCAATTGCTTAATTGAATAATTTTTACCTCACCAAAAAAGCATAATGAAGAAAAATATGTTATTCCCATTTGAGAAATGAAGAAAATCTGAAAAGCTTGTAGTTGGCATGTGAAGGGAGCACAATTCTCTAAACTTCCTGGTTCATCATGCACTTTCACCACTCTGTGACAACTTTAACAATTTCATTAAATGCCATGAATGTAAAATGTACATGCTTACTGGATAAGAGATTTCATTCAATGAGTAAGTTTCAATACCTATTGAGTGAAGACTATTTTATTAGGTTCTTTGAGGAATACAAAAGTAATATAAAATATAGCTCATGTTTCAAAAGAATGTTTTCATCCGGTTGAATGGATAAGACATACATATAATAAAACTAAATCAGATCACAGTATCAGGAACGCCTCTTCATTAGACGTGCTTCTTTGGGGACAAGAATGGAGACTGTGGGGCTCGAGGAGATTAGGAGATTTTATTGGAGCCCAGTAATAAATGAGTGCACACCTCCCAAAATGGCTTTCTTCACAAATAATTCACAAGTTCTTTTCAATTTTACCTGCTTTTACTGCTAACCACAGGGAGAACTGATACAATTTTTCTAGGATGCTAACCCAATTTTCTTCTTGGTGTATCTGTGGTCTGTTAGTATGTTATGATGCTCATTTTTGCAATATCAATATCTCAATAAATATATATATAGGAAAGGCTTCAATAAGTTTATGTGAAAAATCTACTGTCTTTCATGACCATCGTCCCTCAAACTTTTGAAGGCCAGCCACGGAGATGCATTTATTTGAGATGTTGGCTTCAGAAACCCTAGGGAGCAATTCGACTTCCCTTGCAGCGTCCCTGTGAGCCAGGACGGACTGGATAGCATGGATTGGGGTTGGAATTTTTTTTGAGCCCCCTTCTTTTCATATGAAATAGCATCTTTTTATAAGCCCTATTGTTTTCTGGTGCCCTAGCGTGGGGACAGATTTGTAGGAGCCTCAGGTACCACAAAGTGAAACACTGCCCAGTGCTATACCATCCTCACCGTTCCTGCCATGTCGGAGCCCTCATTGCAGCCAAGGTACCACGCCATCTGGTTTAGTGCTTTCTTCTTTTCCACTGACCGTGCACGTTCCCAAGATGATGTCCCTTTCCCCGTGCTCTCTCCTGGGAACATGCTCACAGTACCTGAGAAGTCCCCTCAGCCTCACTTCTAAGGAGTATTCTGGCTGTACTTCTTCTGCAACGCAGATATAAACAACAACAAAATAAATCTTCAATTCTGCCTCACAGTGATCTATAGGACAGAGTAGAATTTCCCATTCAGGTTTCTAAGGCTCTGCCATCTTTATGGACACAGACAGCATCCTCCTTTCTGTCTGAAGGAGCGTGGCTGGTGGGCTCAAAGGCCAAGGTTAGCCATCAAGCACATATCCACTGCACCTCCAGGGCTTCGTAGGGCCACCGGAGTGGGGCTGCCTGTTCTGGGTTCTCAACTCCTAAGCAGCCAAATTCACTGTCGTCGAGTGGATTCTGATTCACAGGGATCCTAGAGGACAGAGTAGAACAAGCCCATGTGGGTTTCGGAGATTGTCATTGTTTAGAGGAGTGGAAAAAACTTGCCTTTCATAAGCAGCTGGGCTGGTGGATCCAAACTGCTGGCTTTCTGGTTAGCAGCCCAATTCATAATCACTAGGGAGGGACCAAAAGAAGCATCCTAGGGGGTGTTTGGAAGACATGCATGTGAGGGTCATGACATTCCAAAGTGTGCCTCACTGGGCCTGAAGCCACCGCCCAGTTTCCCAGACTTCCACTGCCCTCCCCAGAGGTCCAGGAGCCTGACTGACTCACTGGGCCTCGAGGGCAGAGCGGACTCCTGGAACCGAATGCAGGACTTGCAGGGCTGGGAGTGGAGCGCTAGAGGCAGCACCATGAGGCAAACTGACTCAGCCCAGGGCGAAGGTGAAGTGGTTAAGCCATGGGGACTCCAGCCACAACCCGGCTCCACCCAGCTTTGTCTCCTCCAATTCTGAGGAGGAAATTGTAACTGGACTCCTCACAGTGGTCTGTGTAGAAGCAAACCTTGGTTTGTATTCTTTCGAGGACCATATCAAATCATGGGTTATTATTATTTGATATACTAGGTAGGTTGCATATAGTTATTCAAAAATATGTATTTGCTTAGCGACAGACTAGTGGAAATGGTATGGAATTCTCAGTATGGCAACAGAGGATCACATCCCAACTTTTCACTACACACTGGGTCACCTTGGGCAATTCCCTCCGCTTTGTGATCTGCGAAAGGAGAGCAGCACGGTCCTGTCCCTTTGCAGAGTTATGACAATAATAAAAAAATGATCATTTACTTTTATACCATTTTAAATGTGCATGACATTGTATACTTTTCAGCGGATATTTATTAGTTAGCACCAGCCAAAATAAATATTACTTATTTTCATTATTGGACCACAATGAAAATTATGAAGACTTGCTATCTATGTTTTATATTTTTCATCATGCTTGTACAGTAGAGCCAACCATTAACCAGGATTTATTGGTAGGAGAAAGACTACATTTTTAAACGTGACAGATATTTGTTATTTCTAATGGCCTATTCCGTTTCCAGGTTCCGTACATTCAAATGATATTTATCTAATCTTTACCATATGAATAAGACATCTTTACATGCAAATTGGAATACGGCAGTTCATAGATTGTGAATATACAATCATCATTGCTGATTTTACTTGGGAAACAAGGGTATTTGGAAGCAGCATGACAGCATGCAAATCAGCGCACTCAACAAAGTCCCATTCATCTCTTTATGCAGCTTACATCTTGTTTTATACTTTGGACAAGAACATACCAATAGATGACTGGATTATGGAAACAATCAGTGGCGACCGGCTCACCCATCAAATCCTGGATCTCAACCTTGACACCACGTATTACTTCCGAATCCAAGCGCGGAATGCCAAAGGAGTCGGGCCTCTGTCAGATCCCATCCTCTTCAGGACTCTGAAAGGTTTGAATATGTTCTTATGGCCTTGTGGTTATAAAATAACTTTGGGGTCTGTGTTAGAAACTGTCCTTCGCCTTCTCTGTTGGCTACAGCATACACTCAAAGTAAATTTACAGTGTTCCCTGTTAGGGACCTTATAACAATCGGATGCCTATTAAATTGGGTCGGAAGTTGGACAGAGTGTGATGCTTACTGACCCTCTCACTTCCTCTACCCCTTCACTGGTTACAGGAGAGAGTGCCATGATTGCTTTTTGTGTATTGTTGGTTGGTTTTAAAAAATAAAATAAAATAAAATGTACCCTGTTAGGCTCAAAGTCAGCCCATGAAAGAAATAGCGATTGTGCTACATTTTCTGACATTCCCACAAAGCAGAAACATTTAACCTGACTGATTCCAGGTGCAAGCCTTTTTGGAATGTTGTATTGATTTCTCGTGTTTGGGCTCTATTCAACATATAATGAAAGCTTTCATCCACTTGTAAAAATATAAAACGGTCCAATTTAAAAGCTTCGAATTATTTAAATGGGCATACTTTTGCTAACTTTAAATGTTTTCTTTCAGGAACCATTGTCCTACTATATTAAAATAAATCTGGATATGGCAAGGCAGAAAAGTTCCAAAAAGTTTTAGGAGTTTATTTTAATAATCCAGGTTAGCAACAATGACAGAAAGAAAGAAGGAAAATCAGACACTGTGATCACTAGAAGAAAATTCCACCAGCTGAAAAGGACAAAAATTCCTACTCAACTTAAGGGCTCATAAAAATAAAATAAAATAAAATCCATAAAGAAAAATACTAAGGTCCAAGAATAGTGATGGCATCAAAGTAATTTTCATGTAGGCCTTTCAGAGCGCAGCATTATTTCTCCTGAATGAAAATTGGTTTCAAGAGTCTTTATGATTAGGCCATTTAGAATAATTTGAATGTTCCATAATTGGCATTTAAAGATACAGAGTAAGGCATGAAGTTGATTGTTCTGAAGAGGAAGAGCTTGGTTCTTAAGCTGATATTTTGTCTGTATATCAGGATGACCACTTGACAACGCATGGTGGCAAGCCCTGAGAAATTAAAAACACATGAAGGATTGATATCTCATCCTGTTGTTTTCCAACCTAAAGGAAGAATATTAGCATACTTCAATAGTCCGTTTCCCATTCTCCTAGGAAAACTATCCTAATAAACCATGGACATTTGAACCTGGATTAGTGGGCTATTTAGAAGAGTTGGAATCAACTCGACAATGTCTGTATGTTTTGTGGGGGTTTTTTTGTCATCCGAAAGTCTGCCAAGATCCCACGAATGAGCCTTCAGCCTAAGGCGCCTGCTGTTCACAGTGACAGAGCCACAGCTGGGAAAGGAGCAACAAGGAGAAGAGATCACTTCCCTCGATTTCGGTCTGGAGGACCTCATGTCTAAAACAAGTTTCACCCCAGAGAATCCACTGAAAGGAAACTTTGGGGGAGCGTGAAGTGTAGCTAATGTTTTGTAAATGCTCCATCTTTAGCTACACACAAGTACCAAATTAATTTCATGCTCGCAATGTGTGCCAACTACGAGATCTCAGGGAGGGTTTAAGATGACTCAAGGCATCCAAGTGTATTAAGCAACAGACTGATGAGTTATGATGGGATTTACAGGCCCAGATTGATAACCATACTGCCAATTATTTAACGAACTCAAAAGTCCTTTTGGTACGATGTTTTCTAAGTGCCATAAGCTCTTCTGATGACTTATTTGTAGAACTGAGGACTTGCTTAGGAAGTTGTTACCAGTCATACACAGTTATTTTTGAATACTTAATTTGAGTGATTATCATCTACTGTAAGTATGTCCTACTTAATTATAATCTACTGGATTTTTAAAAGGAAACGTTCTCTATATGGTAAGAAAGGTTTCTGATGTCTTGAGTACATTATAAATTATACAGAAATATTGATATATACCATCAATATTAATAATCAACAGTGTCCAGACATGCATCTTACATGTTACATACCATAACAAATGTTCTAAGGCTAATAGATAACTCATCAGAGATTTGAAGCTACAATGACAAAGACTTACATATAGACATAAAATAATTTGGTTGCTCAGAGATTTGAAGTGTTTACTTCACAGAGCTGTTTCAAGACATAAGGGCTCTAGTGTGTCAGAATATTATTTTATTTGGCAGAGAGAAAGATTATATATATGATATATATATAAAATCCTGAAGCTGAGGACGCTCCCAGTAGTCTATGGGACAATATACAAGGGTTTTTACTGAAAATGAAGCCCTAGGGAGGTGTCCACACGCTTCATTCTTTTATATCCAGTCTTTGCAAGATGGTAATGTTATCTACTACTATTTTGTCTATGAGCCAACCAGACAAAGGGTCACTATGAATCATAATGGACTTTATGACAGCGATTTGAGTTGAGTTTATATTCACATATATATTGTGGTATGTCTAATTTTTTTTTTCTTTGCAATGTTAAGAGAATATTTAGTTTAATTCTATGACCATATAGGATTCTACTAAGACCCACTGCCCTCTCCAAAATCTCCCCCAGGGTCTCATTAGTCTAGCCACACACTATTGTACCATATGAGAGGGATGTCTGTCTATCACATGCTTTGTTCTTCAATAAAATAGGTTTCTTTATGTTGACCTATCCAGTAATTGGAAAAGAGAATGCCCTGGCAGAATAGATAGACCACAGAGAGTCCTGTGGAGGAAGGAGGTCATGTACTACACCAAAAATACCATCTCAGCAGTGAAAGATCGAGAGGATGTGAGCTGTTCTGAAATGTGCATTTTTCCTAGCTAAGGATTTTGCACTGAAAGCTCAATAACAGCATACAAAGAGGCTCCATCTTCTAATTCATTTCAAATTAATTTCATCTTCAAAAGCATGTAACCAAATCTGTGATTTTTCTTATTACATTATGAGAAACACTATTCATCTCTAATATAACAGAACTATTAAAATCCAATTCCCTGTTTGGAAATATTCTTCAATGGATAACCTATCTTGAGACATTCAACATTTCTCACATTATATACAGTCCAACTTTGCCAATAAAACAAGACAAAACAGAACATAAGATTGAGGATGGGGTTGTCTACTATAACCCCTAATCATTTGTCACTGGCTAAAAATAAAGCTTCTTAGGCTGTAAACAGTGCCTGGCATGTGATTACAGATAGAGGGAGAACAATGAATTAGAGCCATGTTCTTCCTCCTTCTACCAGAGTGTGAGCAGCTCTCTCCTAAATAGGAAATGCTGAATACAGGAGTGTCTCTGGTGTGTCCTGTTGTGACAGCCAAACCTTTAAACATCGTGGAGAGCTTAGACATGCATGATCCGGAAATAACATTCCTCATTCCTGCAGGACACTTGGAGGGTAGTTCCTATAGTATAGTGCCCATTGAACATCCACCTGAGGAGGATCCCAAGAAAAACCCTGTGCTGTCTGTAAACTATGTAGAATAGAGTTGCCTGTTGAAAGCATTTTTCATTACCTTTCCCTCTCCATCAGAAAGTGTACTTTGAGAAGCTATTAGTCTTCAATGGAAAAAGGGAGCGAAAATCAATTTGAAAATTAAAATTTTATGACTAGGTTAGGCTAGATTAGAGAATCCCATAAACTAAAATAAACCATAAATATTTATGTGATATAAAAGATTGTTCATAAGATTTAAGTTTATAGAATCTCGATATAATGAGTAAACACGTATGTATACCTTTTTCCAAAGAGTATTCCAGATTTCAAGAGTTCACTACTACTACAGAATTCAAAAGACAACTTTTCTGGAATATCCTTTTCATAGACTCTGCTGACATATATATTTAAAACGAAAAGAAACTCATTGATCCTGGGATGTGAAACCCTACAATGTAGCGTGTTCATCTGAAAAAGGCTTTTGTTCACAGCATCCATGTTTGAGTCCTTTTTTTCTGGACAGGGTTTTTGTGCTCTTTCAAAAAAGGAGACTACCACTTGTAGAACATAAACTTTAAAATATTTTATAATAAATAGCCGTGTATTTCCTATGTAGAGATGATCATGCATAATGAAAGATTGACTTGTTAATAGATTATATTTTTTCCTGTATTTGAACTCAATCCAAAAAAAAACAAAACTCACTAACATGGAATCTAAACTGACTCCTAACAATACTTTAGGACAGGGCAGAAATGTACTTGTGGGTGTCCCAGACTAGCTCCTTACAAGAGTAGGAAATCTGATCCTTGTCCCGTGGAGCGGCTGGTGGTTCAAAGTGCGCATCGTGCCATTGGCAGCACTATTTGTCATCTACGATGCCACCGAGACGCCTCATGAATTGAACTAGAAAATACGAAACTGGCAAGCGGAATATCATAAGTATCAAGTGTGAGTTGAGTTGAGTCAAACTGAGTTGAGTCTGCTGAGTTGCGTCTGAGTGGAGTCATTAGCTGAACTGAGTCTGCCCAGAAAACGCAAGTCATGGACAGTGAAAAGCATTGCCATTCTGTTGATTCCAGCTTGCAGCAAGCTCACAGGACACAGAACTGTCCTGCAGGTTTACAAGGCTGCAATCTATAAGGAAACAGACTGCCTCATTTTTCTGACCACCAGCTAGTGGTTTCCAAAGACCTTTGGGTTAGCAGTTAAGAATTTAACCTTGATTTCTTTCAAGGGTTCCTTTAAAGCAGGTCTTCTAACTGATCCATTCTGGTTCCACTCCCTGCTGAGAATGTGCATTCCCATCCTGGTATACTGAATTAGAATCTGCGTTGAACAAGATCCTTCACTCCTCCAAAGACCTTTCTTGCAAAGGATGGTTGAAATCATTCTAATCAAGAGAAACTGAATTTAGAACATCATCTCCACCAAAGTCTACACTGGTGAAAATAGCACAATTTCTGAAATAGTAATCATATCAGAGGTTTAGTTCTTCTATAGTTACATTTGCTTAACAAAGAAGGCACCTTTTTTAAAGCTGTAGAGATATTATAATTTCGAAACAATCATTCTAAGACCATTTCTCATAACTCATCTGAAGTTGACAACTTCTCAAGGTGTCATGCTGTATCAGGTTGTATCCTGTACTTATGAGAGAACTATGTTGGTGCGGTGGATAAAGCCACTTCTTGGAAGGAAGAGGAAGCAGTTTACTTAAGGACTAATTCAAGTACTGTGATAGGGCGTTAGCCTACGCTGGCCCAATATTCGTCTCTCAACAACGCTTTAAAAAATTAGTACCAGGGATTAATCAAAGACAAAATTAATGAAAGATCATTTTGCCCCAGGGGGATGATCTATAAAACTCTCTACCATAAATTACCAAGGAGGTTTTGAAATGAAGCCAAAGGCAGAGAAAACCAAAAACATAGATCCAGGAATGGGTTTGGGGCTCACACTAAATCTGGTCTCATATGAATTCCTAGCTCCAATATAAGAATAATTCATTCTTATATATATCATGGTCCTGCTCAATACCACCCTCAGCAAGGGAACACAAACTATATGGGTGTTAGAGCAAAGTGTAGTAAATAAATTAGATGGTGCCTGGCTATCAGATAAAATAGTGTCTGGGGTCTTAGAGACTCGTTTCCAAACAAGCAGCCATCTAAGTGAGATGTCAACTAAGTCCACATGGAGGAAGCACACCAGCACTAGTGACTGAAGAAGTATAAATCTTATCATCTGAAGTGGAAGGAGGGAATAGTATTAGAGTCTAAGTTGTGAGACTCTGATTTGCAGAAGGCTATAAATGACAGTGGGAGCCCAAGATCCATTTGTGAGATCCACATAGGAAATAAGCCTCTGGTGATTTCCCTCTCCCCATACTAGAGGGATAGGAGGAAAGTGGTTACCAAATAGAGCGCTTTGGAGATATGACTATAAAAGTTGAAAATGAGAAACCTGACTTACATAGTGAAAACCTTGTCAATTGCTCCCCCTCTGATGCACATTAGGCCTGATCTGGTTTTCAAGAGTGTCTGTATTTGGTTTGTTTTTTGTTTGTTCATATTGGAGTTTATCTCAGATGTGTTATGTCATTGGGAGTGACCCTCTTGAATTTTTGTGATATATTTTTCTGTTTTTCAGTATAGGATACCCAAAATAGATGACCCTGTAGAGACAGCAAGTAGAATAAGGGTTTCTGAAGCTGTGTCAAGGAGTTCAAGAAGGAAAAAGAATGTGTTAAAAACTGATTGTGGCAGTAATTGTACCATACTGCTTGATGCGATTAAACTATGAAATGCTATCCGTGTTCATTCCCAATAAAATGGTTTTGGGAAAAAACTTTTTAAATAGACTCAGAAAACCTATGAAGTAGTTCTACTCTGTCCCGCGGGGTGACTGTGAGTCAGGATAAATGAAAAGGAGGTGGGCTCTGAGTTGGGTCTACTTAAGACAAAAACTAAACGAACTACCTGCCATCAAGTTGACGCCAACTAACCCTTTGGGACAGACTCGTTCTAGGGTCTACCTAAGATAGTTTATCGTTTTACTTTATCCAGGTGAGAATGCGTTCAGTTCTCGTTTTGAAAATATCAAATACATGAAATAACGTCCTTAATGGCTTGCATCTTTGCATAATGATTATTCTGACTTTATGTTTAAAGGACTGTGGTGAACAGCGCATATTTTAGAATGCATTTATACAAGCAAGATGATGTCTTTATTTTTATTCCTCCGACTTCCGTAACAGAAATCATTCCATGAGTCTTTGAGTACACGAAACCGCAATTCCTTATCAATTTTATTTCAGTAGGGCATTGACCTGGGTATGACAACTTATGAACAGAACTGTTGATTTGCTGTGTCAGGCTGATTGCTGGAAATTGTCAAAGTCAAATAATATTATTTCTTTCTTTCCCCCACAGTGGAGCACCCCGACAAAATGGCTAATGACCAAGGTACGGTGGCTCAATCTGTCATTTCCCCCTTACTTAAATCACTTCTATCTGTTAGACTTGTCAGCCATTACTTTGCATTCCTCCTTTCACCTGGGCCATACACCTGAAGGAGCAGAAATTGGCGTGATAATGAATCTTGTTAATGAATTTCTGCTTGGCTGAGGCTGTGGCTCTGATAGGGAAGATGTAAATTTACTTGAGAGGAAATTGTTTTGTCTCTATTCTGAAGGACCAATTAAAATGTCAAGCTTCTTGGGATGAAATAAATTTTTGGTCTCTGTCTGCACTTCTGAATAATTCACATTAAGTATAATTAAGCTCAGCATAATTTTCAAGCTGCGCTTGCACCCTTCCATGAGCTATGGGTTAAAGTTCGGTAGCTCAACAGAGAAAATCCATAAATCACATGTGCTTTTCCTCCGCAACGAGTGGCTTTTAGTTAATAAAAACAAAGTTGGGTCAACTCTTTTTTAGGGCATTATCATTACTCAATTTAAACCTGAAAGATTTTCATTCAGTGACTCAGATGCTGGTCTGACTCGGAGTATTTTATGCTCCGCCCCTTCTTTTACTAAAAGCTAATTTATGTCAAGAAATAAGGATTATTTGGTGAAGCGCAAAATGGAGATGAATGAGCATTATCCAGCGGCTCTTAAGTAGACATGAATTCGGAATTCCCATGATTATTACTGATATGCCATGAACTAATTGATATGAGGTAGACCACTTGGTAAACTAAGATTTGATTATCTGTAGATTTGGATGATCAGTAGACTGCTAAGGGAGACAAAGAATGGTTTATGAGTTTTTACTATTGTTCTGATATTATATTTCAGGAATGGTAGGAATGGGAAACACTAGTTACTAGTATAGTCAGGATCCTCAGTGTATGTCAATTCAGAGTCTATAACTCTTGTACTTTGTCTCCTGCTCTGAGCATCTATTGTCACAGAACTCATTTTCAAACCTCGTGTCTCAGAAGACACATGTTCTGAGATTCAGGAAGGGACATTGTTTAAAAACTCCAACATGACACTTTTACCTTTTGATAGAAACCACACTACTCAATAAATTCCCATTTGCTTCTGGCTTCTTTTCAGTTTGGCTTAGTTTAGTGGGTTTTGTTACTGTCGTTGTTATTATTATTTTTGATATATTTTAGTTAATTGCTTTGTTTAGTGATCTAAGTACCATTTGTATTTTGTCCATTGGCAATTTTATTAAAAATGAGTAAATCATTCCCTACTCCCCCTAATTACATCATATCCATGGATGTTGATCTGAATATCTTTTGACTTTCATATCCACCATGAAATCAGATCAACTATTAGGAGCACAAGGAATCCCCTAAAATATGTCCAGGGTCTGAATCTATTAATGTATTTGGACAATTATTCTTTCGATTTATTTAATATTACATAGGAAGATTTCATCATATAGCATGCTACTCAGTGTACTCTGCAATCATTGCACTTTTCATATTGAGAAGTTTCAAATTTTAAATCAAATAAAGTCACTTGTAAAATCCAGGGGGCTGATGACAGATGATTGAGTGGCTGTTCATAAGATCTTTAGACTCTTACAAAGAAAGTTGATAAATTGCACTACAGGGGAGCTGATAGCAATGTGAGTGTATTAGTTCCCCACTTGAGGGGAACTAATGACAGATTTATAGGTTAATGGATACATTGAATAGTGTAAGATACTGCAAAAAAAAAAAAAAACACAAAAAAACAACCCCAAACAGTTCTGTATAAACAAAATCCGTTTTCTGGGTTGAGAGCCAAGTGCATTGATAAATAACCGAGATTAAACATCCTTCTCATGTGGATAAAAATAATAGGAAAACGCTATTCTGAATGCTTCCTCTGCCAGTACATTCAGAATAAGGCCCGAGAGAAAAATTCCTCTTAGGGAAGATTTGGTACCCTGGGTCATCGTTAACCTTATAAAGACGAATCCTCACTAGGGAAGCAGGAGGTGGCATTTGTAAGAAGAATAAACACGTTTTGATTTTTCTCTGAAAAGCGTTAGAAGGGAGAAGGGCATCATACTTAGGCAGGCAGAGAGTGAGCAAATAAAGAGGAAGCCCTTCCGGGAGAGGGCTGGACCCCATGAGTACAATGACGGACTGCGACTAGAGAAGATCCTGAGGGTGCTGTAGGTGCAGGGGCTCTCTGAGAGGCACGGGGCCCGCCAGACCGAACCACTGCAGCTGTCTTTGCAGGGTCTTGTCGTAAATGATTGCTCTGGAAATCCAAGATTGGCTGTGAGAAACAGAGGTGAAAACAATAATAAAAACAGCAAAAAAAATTAGTTAGATGGGAATCAGATCTGATTTGGAGAAAATAATTTCCTTTGAATAATATTAGTGTTAGCATGGACATGCTAAGCCGTTTATACCGAAGTCTTTATTGAATTGCATTTTCCTTTCTTCCAACTGTTTTCCAGCTTTTTTAATGCCAACCTAGTCTTCAGTCCCTCTCATTGTTACCACGCAACACTGTGCTCGTGTGCTAGGCATTTCTCTAGCCTATTTTAGGAACAAAGTGAACAGTAAACTTGACAGTAACTCAAGGAGTAGTCAGATTGACCAATTTTTAAAAAATGGAGGGCAGGGTAGGTTAGGAAAATGACTTGGACTATGCCAATTAAAAAAAGAAGGATCTGTTTTAGATCTTTAATATATACGTCTTGTCAATCTATGTAAGTGTTTATGAAGGTAAAAGTAACCCTTTATCAGATACTTAAACAGCAGACATTGCTCGAAGAGCTTTGCATGTATTGGGTCTTTTAAGCCTCATAACAGTATTAAGTGAGGACTACTATTGCTATCATAGTATTCAATGTATCTGTGAAGAAGACATAGAGTGGACGTGATTTTTCTGCACTCAAACAACTATAAGTAGAAAGGCCCTAATGCCAACCCAGATCATGTATTCCAAAGCCAGTTAGCTTAACTAAGTCCATCCATCACATATCCTTTAGTCGACATGTACATATACAGCCACACACATGTATTTGACACAGCCGAGCATATGCTGCATTTGAAGTTGTGTGGACTGATAGTTCCTTCCTCTCTGTCTTTGTGAATATTCTGAAAAGCAAGGTAAAGAACTCTTTTTTTTTTTTTTTAATCCCTGTGCACTTCACCGCTTCTCTCGTGGGGGAACGGTAAAGAACTCTTAATCTGAGGTCATTTTGATAGTGGAAACCTCAAGAGTGAACACTGAGTCTAAGTGTATGATTCTGACCATTTTTTGAACCTCGGAAACACAAAGAGAATATGCAGTCCACCTTCAAAGGGAACTGAGCTCACCTGCGTGGCTCAATTTTTCAGCCAAGGAATAGACAGGTCTGTAAGGGGAACAATGATACTAGTGAGGTATGCATACCTTAGAACAGTGGTTCTCAACCTTCCTAATGCCATGACCATTTAATACCGTTCCTCCCGCCCAACTATAAAATTATTTTCATTGCTACTTCGTAACTGTAATTTTGCTACTGTTATGAATCAGGCGACCCCTGTGAAAGGGTCATTCAACCTTCAAAGGGGTCGCGACCCACAGGTTGAGAACCGCTGCCTTAGAATAATTTGAAATCAAAAGGACGGCATTTACCCTAGGACAAAGTTCTGAGAGGTTAGGAAAGAAGGAAACATTGAAGTAGGGACTTGGGGAGGAAGCGAGATAAGAAACATTACATGGCGGTGAATGCAATCAATGAGATGAAAGAAAATGGGTATGCTCTGTTGAATGCAAAACTGATCTGCTCCATAAAGCCTTCATCCAGCTTACAATGAAGGTGCTTTTGTTGGAAAGGAAAGTGTTTCTTTCACTCCTCTGATCTTGTTCCCATTTTTCTCGAGATCCATAAGCAGAAGGAAAACGTTTTGTTCACGGTCACACACAGAGTTGTTGGCTGAGTTGGAATCCCAGCAAGTGTGGGTGTGTGCCTAGGAGACAGTGTGCAGTGTCCCCATGTCGATTGCTCCTCTGCTGAAGATGCAGCGCACTTTTTGCTGCTCCAAAATAAATGGAAACCCTTTAGAGCTGCACAAAGATACCTCATAGACAATCCCTTTGTTTTGGGGGTGACGTGGGGTCAAGCTGTAACTATGGCATATGACTGCATCTGGAAAGGGATTATTAGGTCAACTTTTAATGTGAAGAGATTTTTAAAATTTGAATCCTGCTCTTCCCTTTAACATCCACATGTTTTTTCATGTTGAAGGGTCTGGAGGTATGAAAAGCAGTATTCTTAACAGAAACACAAATGTTTGCAATGGCATATGTGTTTCCAAGCCTGCCCATTGTGGCAAAAGAGTAGGTGCTGTGGCGATAATACAGCATACAAATGAGAGTAAGGTTCTTATGGAAATGACCTGCATCGTTGCTCAGATGAATCATAAAGAAAATGCTCGCTTTGAGCATTCACAAGAGTCTTTGCTTCTGCACAGCCTTCAGATGGGTGACTGGAGATTCTAGGCCTGGGAAAGAGACATAAATTCCGTTTATAGATAGTTTAGAGATCTAGAAAAAGAAGACCTGATGTGAGCAGCCTTCCCAATAGGGAGAGCAAATGACTCTCTTTCAATTACAGCAATGGCTGGTAGCGGTTGACAGGCCCTTAGTCACCTCATCTGTGCACTAAGGGCCCTGGGGTAGAATTAGAGACCTTACCTTCTGGTTCAGTCCTGAGCTGCAGTGTGACTCTGGACATACCTTTTTTGAGCATCCTTACCCGTAAAACTCAAGTATTTATCCCAGATGATCTTTGGTTCCTTTTGATATATAAAAGTCTTTAGGTTTGGCATTAGAGTTCAAATAGCGTCTTTACATAGTGGAATAACTCACATTTACTACCTGCCTACCATGTGCCAATCACTTTTCTGTTCACTTTGCATGTACAGCCATGGCTATGTTGTTTTCATCCTATCTTGAAGGATATTGAAAATGAGGCCCAGGTTAAAACTTCCCAAAGCGTCACTCTATGTAAGT